ACGCCTTCGGGTTCTGGTAACTTTGACGCTGAGACCTTAACTGTCTTCTGTCCAAATTTTTATGTGTTATAACCTCATTAAAATCTTAACTTTTGTTTTTTGTGGGAATGGAAATTGACACTCTTACTTTGAATGAAGAATATAAATCGAGAATTTGGAAGAGAAAGCAGCAAACGTATTGGGGTAATTTCATAATGGGGAGGTTCATAATTTGTACTTGTCAGCAAATAATTTTAGTGTGACGATCACGACGTATGATGTAGGCGGTCTATGTAGCACGCATGTGGGGAGACGAGATACATGTAGAATTTTGCTTGGAAAACCTAAAGAAAAGGGGGTACTTGGAAGATTTAGTCATTGATTGGAATAGTACTTCTCAAACTGGGGCCGAAGCCCCTCAGAGAGCCGAGAGATATTTATTTGAATAATTTTGTTATTAATGGTACACTAAATAAATAAAGAAGTTTGGTATAAAAATAAACCAGTGGTATAGGTGAAGCAGTACAGAAGTTTTCTGTCTATTTTGTTGAGGCAGAAAATATTTGGATTTCTTTTCAATATCGGAGAATTTTTTTTCAAGCAAACGAATTCTGTTTGTTTTATTACTAATTGGTATAAATGTGTGTATGTAGTGAGTAAATATTTGTTGTTATCGATTCCTAACTAAAATTTGTTTATTGGGTCTGGAAACTCTTGAAATTTTCAATCAAATTTGGTGAGCCCTGGGATAAAAAATATTGAAAATCACTGAATTGGAACATAAAAAATTACATCAGTTTTAAATAAATGGGGCCTGAGAATGTGGCCTGAAATTATCTTTCTCGGGAAGGGCTCCAACGCGGAGAAGGACTTCATTTTGTAGAACACAGGAAGTTTCTTGACTAGTTAAGCGACTACCAGTTTCTTAAAGACTATGCTCCGAGTATTCTGTCCTATAACTAACTAGATGGCTTACAGAACCCGAAGGTTCATCACCGAATTAACCAAAGCCCTCCACCGGACCCCGTAATGGGCCAACAAAATCCAGTCTCCTTCAACCCCTATCTCCCATAGATCCCGCCTGACATTATCCTCCCATCTACGTCTAGGTCTCCCCAGAGGTCTCTTCCCCTCAGGCTTCCCAAATAGTGGACCCAACCAAGCAGATGGCTTACGGAACCCGAAGGTTCATCACCGAATTAACCAAAGCCCTCCACCGGACCCTGTCCTGGGCCAACAAAATCCAGTCTCCTTCAACTCTTATCTCCCATAGATCCCGCCTGACATTATCCTCCCATCTACGTCTAGGTCTCCCCAGAGGTCTCTTCCCCTCAGGCTTCCCAAATAGTGAACCCAACCAACCAATGGCTTACAGAACCCGAAGGTTCATCACCGAATTAACCAAAGCCCTCCACCGGACCATCCTGGGAAAAACGAAATCCAGTCTCCTTCAACTCCTATCTCCCACAGATCCCGCCTGACATTTTCCTCCCATCTACGTCTAGGTCTCCCCAGCGGTCTCTTCCCCTCAAGATATTCTGTCCTATAGTTATTTTATCATTTGCGAGTCATCACTTTATAAATACGGGTTTGAATTCTAAATTTGAAGTTTTTTTACTGCATGAAATATTTAAATTATGGACTATCGTCTGTAAACACTGAGCGATGCTCAATTGTCATCCAGTGTGTACGGTTACATGATCATTAAACCGGCTATATTGATTAAATTGTCACGAGTCCAACATTTCCGTGATGAGCCGCCATTATGAAAGTTGAAATTGAATTGTTTAATTGCGTTGTCATAATATCCGGAATCAAATAACACTTCAGTTAATTATGTGTGTGTTTGACAGATCGCGTGTAGTACCGTGTTCGGTCAGAACAAAGATATTTGCCCACGCCTCCGAGTGGCATCTTTCGTATATGCTCATTGCCCTAAAGGGCTGTATCTCCACATGAAATGTGTTTCGTCAGTGAAATTATTTATTTTTGTAGGCAAATATAATGAATTTTTAATTAACATAAAAAAGACAGTACGAAGGGATGTGATGGTAAATAAATTGTTTATGTAATTTTCACTACATAAACTGAAAACAGGTAAACTCATAAGAGATTTATTGGTACAATGGACAATTTTTGTTCTTTACACGGCGCAATAACCCAGAAGACAGAGATCTTTTGCTATATCTCCTCTCCCATGGGTGCCTATATGGCGCGTTTGGGGGTTTGCTATTTTATTAATGTCCAAATTGAGTAGACAATAATTTTTCATGTCTAATGCTAAGTGAAAATAATCTGTGTCGCTTTTGTAATTTATCATCTCAGTCCCAAAGGAACATGTAGGAGGGCTTTGGGAGAGATTTTACAATGGGCTTACAGTGAGCGGACAGAATCAAAGAGAAGAATTAATATGAGTGCGTTTATTAACGTTAAAAACCCTTTATTTTCATTTGTGACGTCATTAGATTCTCAACGTATCATGTTTTAACGAGTTCCTTTCTGCAAAATAGAGAGTTTAAAAGTTCTTTTGCCGAGAGGGTCGTAACTACTTTTTATTTAAGTACTAATGGAAAGTTATTGTCTGTACAGAGTATTCTACATCGTAACCTTGTAGGGAGATAAAATTTGTCATTTAATTCGGTGGCCCTCATTAACGCAACTTAATCACAGCTAGGTTTTTATTTATTTATTTATTTAGTGTTCTGTCTGAGGACAGGTCCATATGAACAGGA